GCGTTCGAATACTAACGTTTAAAAACCTGTGTATAAATCTGAAAAACTAAAAAGTTCGATCCCTCAATATGACTTTGAGATGTAAGAAGGACGAAATTGTGAGTACTGTGACGAAATTGTAAATTCTGTGACAAAATTGTGAGTACTGTGACGAAATTGTGAGTTCTGTGACAAAATTGCGAGTATTGCGACGAAATTTTTTACTATTTTGTTTTACTAAAAAGTAAAAGTGAATTCAAACTAAATTATCGTCCTGCTTTTAAGTTCATTACTTTAAGAGTTTGATTATTATTATTTTTTTTTTTTTTTCATTTAGGAGGTAAAAGATAAAACTGGTATTTGAAAATGAAAATTTAATAAACTACACTAATTTAAAAATTAAATTCACTTTGCAAATAAATATTTTTAAATTCTTAATTTAAGAAAATTAACTTAAATGTAAAAAATGTACACAAAAAATATAGTTTAGAATGGAACTCTTTAAAAATATAATTATTTAAATTAACTTGACGATTTTATTATATTGAATTTTTTAACATAAGGAGTTTTCATCTAACAACGTAAAAAGTGTATTAAACAAATAAATTATTTATTTATAAATAATTAAACAGATAATTTAAACTGATATTTACCGCATTCTGGTAGAGAAAGATTAATTATTAAGTTAGTGTCATTATGTTCGACGCAAGTCAGTTTATTACCATAACGTCCAAATATATTCTTCGTTTTTTCTCGGTTTAAATTGTTCTTTATCCATGCGACACTACAATTACACACCAATGGATTGGAATCTATTGTTCTGAAAGAATAAAAGTTACTCAATAAATCAAAACTTTCGGCATTTAAAATAATTTTATCCTTTTACAAACGATTAATTTTTGCATTTGAAAATATAAATAATTAACAGAAAAGTTTTCTTTGATAACAGGCATAAATTAATCAGTGTAATATTATTTTTAAACGTCAGGTACTTAAGTAGACTTTCAAATGAAAAGTAATACTTATATTTTATTTAAATGTTGATAGCATAGTAAAACTAAATATTTAAATCAATATAAAACATTTTTTACGACGCCCAAAATTATTTATAACTAAACGTTTTCGAGACCTTCCATCTCATTTTCAATCATTTTAACTGTCGTGAGAACGTAAAATTCCTTTTTTAAGAATAATATATTGAGAATCGGCTCTGTATTGTTCTTAATCATATTACATATTTTTTAAAACTACTTTCCCTCCTCCAATTTCCCTCATATATCTTAAGTGTCCTGTCTATTTCCGTGTAATCTATTATCAACCTTGCTTCTCTATCGTGTTTCACACTACTAATAAGCTTCTATGATCTTCAGTCATACATTTTTTATTGTTTTATTCTACACATTTTCTTATAATTCCACTATTTTTCCGGCATTATTATTCTAATATGTTATTTTTTCAAAACATTAATCAGACTTTATAATATAAATATTGCTTTTAATACTTATACTCTATTATATTCTGTAATTACCGTTGATTGTCATTATCTTACCTCTCTAATCTTTAGACTTTCAGCTTAGAAACGATTGTGTCTGGGTTCTATAAATACTATTAATGATTTTTCTTTAATTTTCATCTTAATATCAAAAATTGTTCATTATTTTATTATTTAAACTTTCAAATTAAGTTTTATGTATGACACACGATTCCCTCCATCTCTTCATCCCCTCGACCTTTAACCACCAAAATTTAATAGCATTAATCACTATTGTGGTGTATACAGAGTAGATTCTGACTGNTTTAATAAAGAAAAATATATTTTTTTCTAAAATCAATAAGAAGAAAGAGATGCGATTTCCAATCGTATCGAAAAACGAATCTGTAAGAACATTTTTTCTTTTTTAGGTAAAATGAATTGAATTTTTCTGTTGTGAAAATAAATTTTAAACAATTTACATTGAAGCAGCATTAAGGAAAGAATTTAAAATAAGGTGTTAAATAATTTAAAGGTAACTTCTTTTGAATAGAAATAAAAAAAATTGTGCTTTGAAAATTTATTTTTTTGCAGAGAAAGATTGGTATATGAGAGAGAAATTAACATTATAACAGGGAAGGTCTATTGAAGCGTGATATCTATTGTATGGTTTTTTTTATTTATGTAAAAATTTAAATTTCTTTAAGTTTTTGTTCAAATTTTAACTTATTCAAATATTTTTCTATATTATAAATTATAATTTGGAATAAATTTTTTACTATTTGGATTAGTATGACTTGACAGAAATCTTAAAAATTCTCTTAGGACATTCCTGATAGGATCGATGCAGAGAGAAAAAATTGCTTTAAAAATTAATGTACTGTACAGTGAAATAATAAATGATGATTTATTTTAACATTAGAAAATTTATATTCAAAATTTTAGTTATCGTAATCTAATCAAATTTATTGCTCTACGTATGGCATATACAATGCATCATAGGTTAGTTTTCAATTAGATATAAACCGAGGAATCTCGTGGCCTTTCTTTTTTCGGAGATTCTATAGTACAAAAAATTAATAATTATTTGCATACTTAATGTTCACAACAATAATTATTTAAATAATTATATATAAAGGTAGTTTTTGGTAACTTTTTTTAAAATTGGGTTATTGTACAGTGGAATCTTGCTTACTTTTATGTGTAATGTTTATTCAAAGAAAATTATACAATATGCATTGTTAAGGAGCGCGAATCATCATCATCTATTTTTGTAGCGCGGAATGAACCAACCTGGATTGCGAGTTTGATTTGCAGAAAACAAAAATAAATCGAAATAATTAGTTTATTATTTATGATACAGTATATATCTAATTCTTCTTTACTATAAAGCTGTCTAGAAATATTTGTTTTTGCCGACGCTTCAAAATTTGGTGAAAATGCGACACAGCATTATCATTAAATAAATTTGTAGCGGGTATAGCCATTGCCTTATTAGAGTAATTCTTCTCAATATACGATATAACAGTTTTCCATGCTTTCAGAATTTCTCTTATTGCGCCAGAAGATTGATGCTTTGCTGTTACCTCCTCTGACAAACTCTCCTCCACAACGTCTTGCTGTAATAAACAACGCAATTCCATAAGCTCTTTCGGTGGTCAGCTCTTGGCTGTGCTCTTCCACAAGCTTATTAATATCATTGTTATCCACCTACAGTTTCATGATCTTGGCCAAAGACACAATCTCGTTGACTACAGGCTCCACAGGTACTGTCTCAAACCCCTCAAAGTCACATTCGGTCACATTTGGCTCTCCGGTCAAAGCTTCTTCCAGGCAGAAGTGAGGGTTCTCTCGGTAGCACCTTCCCATGTCTTTTCGATCATCTTGAGGCAAACAACGATATGGAAGTGATATTTCCAAAACTCTCTGAGAGTGGGATTGGTCCCTTCAGTCACCTCAAACCAATGTTCGAAAAGTGCCTTAGTGTAGAGCTTCTTAAAGTTATAAATAACCTGCTGGCCCATAGGCTAGAGTAACGGAGTGGTGTTGGGAGGCAGAAACTGGATCTTGATAAATTTAAATTCTTTAAGGAGGTCCTCTTGTAGGCCTGGAGGATGGGCAGGAGCATTGTCCATAACAAGCAAGACATGGAATGGCAAATTCATCTCAAGCAAATATTTTTTCACAGAAGGACCAAACACTTCATTGATCCGATCAGTAAGAAAGTCACGTATCACGCAAGCTTTGTTGTTGAACCTCCATATCACATTTAGCCTGCTCTTCTGGACTTTACACTTCTTGAAGGCTCATGGAATTTCTGGATGGTAAACAAGCAGCGGTTTAATTTGACAATTTGAAAGTTAGGGTTTGCATTGGCACAAAATAGCAGCCTGAGACGGCCTTTCATTGGCTTGTAGACGGACAATGCATTCTCCTCTGCTGTTATATAGGTTCGCTTCGGCAACATTTTTCAGAAGAGACCCGTTTTGTCATAATTAAAAAAACCTGTTGCGACATGTAATCGTCAGAATCTACGAGCTTCTTGAAGTCGCGGAGGAAGTTCTCTGCTGCTTTTGTGTCGGAACTTGCTGCTTTACCATGTCTTACAACGTTATAGATGCCAGTTCTTCTTTTAAACTTCTCAAACCCATAGCTTCCCTAAATACTTCTTCTGCTGTTGATGATCCTGGCGTCTTCTTAACGAGATCGGCAAAAATCACTTTCGTCTTCTCACAAATGATATTCTCGTCATTAAGTCGCCTTGCAATTGCTTTTCGTTTATCCATATGAGAAGCACCTTTCAACATCGTCGAGAATATGTAACCGTTGCTTAGAAATTCTTGNAAAACCTGTTGCGTCAGGTAATCCTTAGAATCTACGAGCTTCTTGAAAACGCCGATGAAGTTCTCTTCTGCCTTTGTATCGGAGCATGCTGCTTCACCACGCCTTACAATGTTATGAATGACGGTTCTTCTCTTAAACTTCTCGAACCATCCACGTCTTCCCTTAAATACTTCTTCTTCGGCCGTTGATGATCCTAGCGTCTTCTTAACGAGGTCGGCGAAAACCACTTTCGCCTTCTCACAAATGATGTCGCCTTGCAATTGCTTTTCGTTTATCCATATGAGATGCAACCTTTCAACATCGTCGAGAATACGCAACCGTTGCGTAGATATTCTTGTCATTCTCTTTGAAGCATCTATCTGCTTAATCTTCACCTTGTTCTTGAGGATAGTGCGAAACTGCGAATTGTTGATGTAGACCGATTGTATGTGTGTGGTAGATCAGCCACGCTCACACCTCGTTCTCGTTTTTTAATGATTTTACATTTCATTTCTATGGTTATTTTTATTCTCTTGTGGTTGTCTTCTTGCGGCGTTTTCTTTGGAGACATCTTTGCAAGGGTAATTAAACTTTGCAATAATTAAATATTAGAAATTAAATTGGATGCTTATATGTGACAAAATTAATAGTTGTTTTTTATACTGTAATTTAAGTTGACAATATTTATGCGTATATTTGAATAAAAACGAATAAGATTCAAAATATCTCACACCATTACATGTCTAACAAATTTATTGGGTAGATCTACAATCTGCGATTTATATATAACTATGTTAATCACTATATTATTTCATAGGTTATCAACATTTTCTCCTCCGTCAATTCGCCATTTTAGACAAATGGATAGACTCGATAACATTAAATATTTTCGCAAGTAGCATTTTAAAATATTGTAAAAAATATCAAAGAAAATTTAGAAAAAGTTTGGCAAACATTTCGGAAATGTTATCTGAATGATGCTGTCCGTGAATTTTTTGGCATTAGTTCAATTTGGATCAGTCTTATATAAAATTTCTTACTTTAAAACGAAAATACTTACGATAATATTTATATTTATAAATTAATTTCTGATTCGTTTCTTCTCTATCTTAAGTTTTTTTTAAACTCGTCNAAAAAACAAAATTTTTAATTAATACATAAATATTCTATTTTAAAAAATTAAATTATAATTTAAGTATTATATAATTTGTTTAATTAAATAAAAAAAATTTAAATAATTGAATTTTTAAAAATAAATTTATATATTTTTAGTAAATTAATTTTTAATACGTACATTTGTCTTAATTTCCAAGTTGACCTAAAGGCATTCGGGAATATGTAACTTAAGCTACAGTTTTTAACTGTCCTAAAATTACCGAAATAAATTAAATAGTTTTATTAAAATAGATTTTAAATTAATTAATAATATTAATTTAAAATTTATTTAATTTAACTCAAAAATATGCAATAAATGAGAGACTTAACTTACAACGTTTCTATATTAGGATAAACTTGTAGCTGTTTTCCATCGAGGAATCTAAACATTGATTGATTTTCAATGATCCTAAATATTAAAGAATTTATAATTTTATTAAAAGTTTAGTAAAAAATATTACAAATTATAATAAATTTATATTAATTTTCAATTAATAATAGTATGAGAAATATTGACCTATATTCAGTGTTTCGAAAACAATTTAATCAAAAAGAAACTTATATAATTTTCTTATTAATAGCTACTTATATTAGTTATTATATACTAGCTATTAATAGCTATTTATTAATTTTATTATAACTGTAATGTATATAGGCTGCAGTATTAAGTAATTGAGGTAAGCATTTTTTATTATAAAGACTTTAATCTGGCAATCAAAAATCTGCTGGAAATTCGGCGGTTGATCTGTACTACATCTAAGAAACTATAACTTTTTTATAACACAAGTTTTTATTATAATGATTTTGTAAATCTTTGTAGAAAATAGAATATACAATAGAAGATTTTCCATTGTCTTTCGTTATTATTCACTAAAAAATCTTCAATTCTCTATATCTAAAAATAATTTTGTTATTTAATAGTATAAGATGTTTTTGTGTTTCTTCCATTATTAGTCCTTAATTTAGTTTTAGGAATATTTTAGAAAACCAAATTGGAACGTAAGAAGTAAGTATAAAATTTGCCCTTATAGCTTTAATTTTCTAGAAAATAAAATAGTTTTATTTTAGTCAAGAACTTTTGTTCTGTAAGAAATTCTGAAATGAAAGCAAATGTACTATAAATGTACGAAACCCGTGTTTTCGATTTGCGAGAAATCTGCCAAACACAATCATAAATGCAAAAATTATACAATAGAGTTAATGTATTAAGTTAGAAATTCTGTTGAGTACTATGTACTTTTTACTGTATTTACATATAATTTGCAGTTTTTAATTAAAAAGTTTAACTTCCCTGGAGACATAAGTGTCATGGTAAAATTCCTTCTGGACCATGGTCTGGACATTAACTATGACTTGCATACCAATCATCCTGACAATGACCCAGGCTCCAACATATGCCTCTATCAATCCACCATCCCACAAGGTATAAACTACTACACTGATGGTTCCAAATCTCCAGGGGCAGTGGGCGCGGCTGTTATCCTCGATGATCCAATGAAGAGAACCTTCTGGCAAGGTGCCTATAGGCTGGATCCGTCTTGATCCATCAACCAAGCAGAGTCGATAGCCATCCTTAACACCCTCAGGCATATCCAGGATAATATAACCAGTTACAACGGTAAAAACATCAATATCATTAGCGAAAGTCGTGACGCCCTTTACCATATTCGTAAGCGTAACTGCCGCCTCCCCATAATCAAAAATAGTTTATGATCCTATATGAAATCTCGAATACTGTAAATATAAAATTTTACTAGATCAAGGAAGCAGTGGCAATGACAAGGCGAACAATCTGACCAAAAACGCCTCCTCATTATCCACTGTGTGTAGCTGCTCCTCGACCCCCCCTGTCTTGGGTTCAAAGTAAGCTGGACTCTATTCTAATGTCTTCTTGGCAGAAAGAGTTGGATGGGAGCCTGACGGGATGCCTCACTCACAACTTAATCGCCAGCATCTCTCGTAGGATCAGCAACCGTCATTTTATCACCAATCACGTCATTACCAAAATACTTACAGCACACGGCAACTTCAGGGCCTACCTCTATAGGTTCCTGAGGAATGGGAACGGCTTATGCCACTGTGATATTAATGAGAACGAAGATCCAATGCATCTAATCTTCATCTGCCCGGTTCATTCATGCCACCGTGCAAACCTTCGTAAGGCTATTGTGGAACGATGGTATCCTTGGCCCCGCAAACTATATACCTTTATAGAGGACCATATCATCTATCAAGAATTCAAGACCTTCGTGGGGCACTTGAAACTAACGGACTATTCCACCACCAGCCGAAGCGGCACTTAACGGACAGCTCGCCTCCTGGGTCAACAGGGACTCCCATAAAGGGATTTCCTATTGTTTCTTTTCAGTGCCACCCCTTCTTTTGCTCACTTTTATCAAGGTGGACTCGTCTGTCCTTCTCCTCAAAGTACCCTATGAGCCTACTTTTTCTCTGTAAATACAAATTGCTCTGTACGCATAATCTATTGTATACCCTTGTCTTATCCAACAGTCCTCGATGCTGCTCATGTCCTTCCTCTTCCACTTTCAAACCTCCAACTATCCAATCTTTCCAACTTTTCTTCGACTCATTCTCCCTCCTTCTTCACCCATTTCTTATCTATTAAGTACAGCCTTTCTTTCTTCGCATATGTTCTTACTCTTATTCTTCATCAATTGTAGATGTTCACTTTGCCGAAAGTTTTAACAACAATTTGACCGTTAGGGAAATTAGTTATTTCCGATTCAGATAAAATATATTGAACTGCTATTTGAACATTAATAAAATATTCTAAAGATAAATGGTTAATATAAAATGACAGTCTTTAAGATTATAAAATATTTTATATTTATAAATTTTGTGTCTAAAAATTGCAAATGCTAATAACGAGTAAAGTATTCATTAATTCCAACCTTATTCGAGATATGACACATGACTCTTTTAGCTCTCCTCTTCCTTGACCTTTAACCACAAAAATTTAATAACATCAATCCTCTTAATACACAAACCTTCCTGAAAACTTTCAGAAATTTTCGACCAAAAGCACAGGAATTATTAAGCTTCAAAGAGGATGAACAAAATCGTGTCATATGCGAGCGAACAAACATAGACACAATAATATCCATACTTATAGAAAAACATCCAAATTTTTTGTATTTCTCGACGTTTCAAGGTCTTCTGAGTCCAAAAATGTAAAAATCTTGGGTGAAGGGGTCAATTTTTTGACCGATCGCCATACTTTTCCTCTCTTATATGTAACAGTGAAAAATAAAAAAGAAAATAAGAAAAACTTTTGATAACGTGAAGATTTTTGAAACCTATTATCAAATATCGATTGATTATCGAAATTTACCTTGCTTTACACTATTTTTCATCTATAATTACACGTTTCTCCCTTTTTTTGTGTCAATAACATCATGAGAGATACGCAAATCTTATTTACGAGTACATTTTGTAATTATCTGAGTAACAAAAGCTATTTAGATATATTTGGATCATTTCAGAGAGAAACAACAGTAAAGTGGATAATAAACATTAATATTTATCGAAAATATTGTTAATTAATATTTAAATTTTATCTAAAATATGATATGGATAGCATTTTATCCATATTCAATTCATTGCATTGTAACTATGAACAAGTCAAATCAGCAGACAGAGTTAAATTATTGTCAACTAAATGCAAATCTAATAAAATGATATTAAAAAGCATTTTAATATATTGAATTTTATAAAAGTTACTCAATTTTATAAAACAGAATGAAAAGTTTTTTTTATAGTCGATGCCAATGGAGATGATTGTCCAATTCACCCTTCACTTTTGCGTTAATAAACAACTCCTGTCACTTTCGAAACTAAATTTCGTGTAATATTCTTACTTTGGTCATAGAAAGAAGTAAGAATATTACACGAAACCTTCGTTCTACGAATAAGTAAGGTTATTTGGTCTTGCTGTTTCCATTACATCGCTCCATAATTCCTAATAGCTGTTGCTTTAGCGTGTAATTTAAAAGAAAAAAGTTTTAAAAGTTTCTTATAAATCTTTTAATAACGACGAATGATTAAATTTCGACTTGAAAAGTTTTCAAAAATATAATTTCGATTTTTAATTTATATTTTCTAGTCTTATACCTTTGTAATTTTAATATAAAAATTACAAAGATATAATAGAAACTCAATGCAATAATATAAAAAAGAAAAACTGTTGATTCATTGATTTAAAATTATAAAATACTATAGATAAAGCATGTTCATTAATATTTATTTTGTGAAAACAACGATATTTATATACAAGTATCATTTCCATGTTATTTGAGTTTATTAAATTAATTTTGAAGTTTATTATTATAATTTTATTTATATTGAAACTAGAAATAATAGCTACAGTCCATTAAAAATACTTTTGTTTTATTATAGTTCATTAAATATCTATTTAAATTAAATAAATAAAACTGAAAATTTAAAACATTTCTCAAAATATAAAGTGAATATTATATAAACAAAATTGCATAAAATTATATAAATAGTTACGCCAGTTAAGTGTTAAATGCAACATTAGCATTGACATTTAGTCGAATCTAATCCTTGTATCTGAATTCGAAACATAAATTTAAAGCTAAATTATCCTTTAACACATTTATTGGAGCATATCAAGCATAAGGAATTAATTCGGATCATTTTCACTTTAACAATTCGTTGTGATATTTTATCCTTCACGTATTTTCCATTTGTGACACATTTAATTTCTGTAAGATTTGGAGAAAATACATAGAGATTTCCTTACAAGTTAATGTAATAAAGAAGATTTAAACACCATTTTTTTTAGAATAATTAAAATATTAACAATATTTATCAAAGAAATATTTTTCTTTTATGTTTTAATCGCAGTGGAATTTATTTCTCTAAGATGGAGCTTTGTAAAACGTTTTAGAATAAGAACTAAATAAATTATTGAAGAACAGCATCAATAGGTGTTTATAATTAACCGGATTTTTATTTTACAACAACGTCACTATTACACGTTCCACAATAAATATCTCCAGTTGTGATATATTTACACTACGTTTGTTGACGACGTATATCATGTCATCACGACATAATACGATAGATCCTTCAACAGGAGACAAATCATAAATGTAAGAAGCAAAGTTCCAGTAGCTTAAGTACATAAAGAAGCTTTTTAACAATAGCAATATATAGCTCGAATAAGAAAATTGCTTATACACAGTATATATTTATATAAATTCTGTTTTGAAAAGAATATTTTCAAAAGTAATAAGTTATATTGAAAAGTTTTAATACATTTGTGAGAAAAGCAATAATAAAGTGTAATAAGTACGAATATAATAAGTCATAGAAGTCTAAGCAATATTTATTACACAGTAGTAAAATAATATATATATTTTAAAA